GGCTATTAAATCAGCACCCCTCACAGCTGCTAGTTTCACAGAATAATCAACTCTCAGTTATGCAGCATAATGGCAGTGGTAGAATAATGCAAATAAAACAGAACCAAGGCTGATAGAAAAGGTAAATTAGGCAGTAAGGATATATTTAGTGTGCTCACCTTTGAAAGTCTGGTAAGCAGATTTCTGTAGAGAACAGAGGCAGCTTTAAGCAGACAGAATGGGGCTGGGTGCCAGCGGGATGAATGTTGCTCCATTCAGACATGGTGCTGCAGCAAGGAGTGACAGAGGAAGGTAGGGCCTGGTGAATTGACACAGGGGGCAAGCCGTCCAGGTACCACTGAGACTTGCATGGAAAATGTTATTTTTCATTGAAGATATTTCTTCAAGAAAATATGCTGATGATCCTAATCAAAAAGGGTAAATAATCAATCAATGTTCCACGGCATTCTAAGTGAGGGAATTGTTGCCAAGAGAAGGGGGAGATTTTTCTCTTTTGGGAAAGATAAAAAAAAAAATGCAGTTTTTGAGAGGTATGTATTTGGCTGCAATAAACAAATTTTGCCCAGGGCCAGGGAGGCAAAGCTAAGCTAAACTTTCTCCTCTCCATCTCTATCCATATCACTATGCAGCTGCACAATCCTCCAGGGATAAGCTCATGGACACGCTAACTAGCTCTCAAACAAAAAGCTTCATTCTTTCTTATTGGCAGTGAAAGCAGTAAGAAGCAGCAAGGCAGGCACACAGGTTGTGCTGAATCCTTTGGGATGATCTCTCCCATGAACCTCCTGGGGGGTAGGACTAAAGCAACAGCCTTGCTTGCCTGTCACTGTGAGATATCTTTCTCAGCTGTGTTGCAAAGAGTAACTGCATTCAAAATGGTCTTGCTTAGTCTGAGAAAATAAGGCTGAGTAACCAAAATATCCATCAGTCTGCTTGTTTTGGGCTCTAGGGTACCTAGATATGGTATGATTAAGCGTTGTGGCACCTTACTAGGGTAGTTCAGCCACAAACAAGTAAAGACCTACACAAGCAAGTGAAAGCTGTGAAATACAGTATCTGACATGCAGAAAGTTAGTGTGGATCCATTATAAAATGAGATCAGAGAAAGTGGCCTGAGCAGTAGTAACTCCACCTCAAATTTCCCATGTCTAGGCACAGTTATCAAGACAGTTGCAGTAAACAAACTTACCAGCCGCCCGTGTCCTAATCTTCACGCTACTGTGGTTGAAACTGGAAAGAAGCATGAAGCTATGCATGGGTACAGTTTTGACGGCACTGATTTCTATAAACATTACAGAATATGAACATCTATACCGATACTGTTGACTTTAGCCACATACAAGGTCTAGTAACAGTGAATGCTTTAATGTTGTTGGCTTTGCTCATTCCACCTTGACAAATTATGGATGATATGTTTAATTTCCCATTACGGAACCTGACTGCTCCTTAGATTATGGGAGGACTTTTATTTTCTTTCGCTGATGGAGAACTGAGGAACATTGTAGGGCTGTGCGCTAATTACATAGGAAGGTATGGCACAGCAGGTAACTGAAATGAGCTTTAGCTGAACCCTATCTCAGTTCTTTCATGCATATCTTCAACGCTGCATAATTCTTCCCCATGTTACAAATGAATCTAGTTTTCCTGCAAGAGAGTACATGCTCTCTTAATGCTTCAAGGTCTAAAAGATCTAGCCTTTCTTCCTTGCTTCACAAAGGCCCGCAGGGAAGTGACAATGGACTTTTGGTTTCAACACTGAGATTATGCTGCAGATACCTGTCTCCTTCACAAAAGATGCAAATAGTGGTTTCCCTTGTATTTTTGATGTCTGAGAGAAATGAATACAGGGATGAACTGTTTCAGCTGAGAAGGATAGAAGTGATATCAACAAGAAGTAGAGATTACACTTTCCTTCTCTGTTGAGGTATGCTGTATTCTGTCCATCTGAGAAGCCAGGGAGAGACTGCTTCTGAGGATCACAATGGCACAAACAGTCCTTTTGCATTTTTCTTTAGTCACAAAATCTTTCTCTTTGTGGTCGGATTAGGTACTTATCAGCCTCTTTTGACTCAAGATCTCAAACACTATCTGAGGTAGTTCCGTTCAATTCAATACACACAGACTGCCTTATAGGCAAGGAAGATGTAAATATGAAATACCATCTCACACTCCATGGGCTTCCTGCGCAACTTCCAATGCACTTCAAAGCTCTGTAAGCCATCTGGTCTCCAGCTGTCTTACAAACAACCTCTTCACCCATGAAGCACACTGTGGGCAGGGGCAGTTGTTTCACAGGAACCCAGAATACATTGTGTTCCCAGCACAGGTTCTTGCCTGACTTTACCTCCAGGGAACAGGAAGAGCCTGAGCTGGACTGTCCTCAGAACTGTTTGCAAACTATTCTCAGAAACAATGGCTGATGATTCATCTGGATCGTCATCAACAGTCTTCAGGCCTGCCTTTTAAGAAACCTTCCCAAAATAAAGAAAGGATACATTCCCAGACAGGAATCACGTTTTAGTGGTGGATCTACAGAAGAATAATCTAGGTTTAAAAGTGCTTGTAACCAAGTGATTACATGTGCTTGCCTCAGGTCAGGCAGTAAACTAGTTTAGCGATCTGGGGACCCTTGTTCCTATCCTGTGCTCACATGACATGAGCATTCTGACTCACCCATGTGTGGAGATACATAAATGCCTGCTTATAACGTGTTTTTGCAAGTTTTAGTAAAGTCAGATCTGTGAAGTTGCAGTCCTCCGTATAGTAACAGAACACTGCCATCACCAATATTTTGACATAAAAACTCTTAGAAAAAGAAACTTGGTTCCTTTTTTGTTTATGCTAGCGACACACAAGGACACTAGTTTAATGTGTATAACCTTTTAAAGTAATTTCTTTGAGTAAATGTTTGCTGGAAGATACCCTGTCTGGGTGATATCTTTTGCAAATGCCTGATATTATGCTACCTAAACAAACTTTTATTTGGTGAGCATAAGACATGACATGGGGTAGCCTTTCTAGAGGGTATGCATCCTAGCATAATGGCAGCCCAAGTGATATTACAATATCTAAAACTGAAAGTCCCCAGAGTAGGGAGGATTGATGGTGTTTGCCTTCTACAGTGGTTAGCAATGAAAGGACAGGGATAACAAAGATATGTTCATGAAGGATGCTTTTACTACTTATCAAGGATGTGAGTTGACAGAGGCTAGATATCATGCTGGCATCTCTGGGAGTAAAATGTATCTGGTGTGGAGAGCCTACTGCAACCTGAAATATATGAAATATTTACATAAGGAAGCTAGAACCATGCTGAACAACAACAAAAAAAAAACAAAAACCACCAAACAAAAAACCAAACAACAACAAAAAAACCCAAACAAAATGTCTTCTGTACCAAAAAAATCATGTGCCAAGCTGATAAAATATCTTACTAAAAAGGTGAAACAAAGAGAAATGCAAATGAACAAAGCAAATCTTCAGCATGAGAGTGAAGGGATGCTTGTGGTTCTTCAAGTACACACTGCTCTGCCAGAGGAAACTTCTTTCTTTCTGTTTTTCTATAAGCTCTCAACCAAAAGTCAATTTTCCTTATTAGACTAGTGGATGTAAATAGTTATCATAGGCAAATATTAAGGTGAAGCTCAGTGAACTAACAGCATTAAAGGCTGTAGCATATTATTATTAAGCAGAGAACTTTACCTTAAACCTCCCAAATCCATCGAATACTCCCCCCCCCCTTCTTATCATCTTTTCTTACACATCAGTAGATGAAGTCAGTGCTAGGTGTTTACTTGTGTTTCCTTAAATACCAAGAAGATGAGAAAAGATATTTAAACACTATAGATGTTGCATTTTCATGGAGGTGGGAGGAAAATGTGCAGAAATGTGCCCTTTCTTGGGATGCAATAACTCTCACACCTTCCTGGAAAAGACAAGAGGACAAAGAGGAAAAAATACAAAACAAAACAAACCACACCAGACATGAGACAAAAAAAAAAAAAAAGGCAAACCAAACATTGACAAGAGAAGCCTGCATTGCTGTGTCACCTTCCATGTCATATGAAAATACTTCTTCCAAAATTTGAAAGCATTTCGTAAGAGCAGTCGGAAGCATTTTTTTTTTTTTTTTTTTCCTTTTCAAAGCAAAGTTCCACCCTTGCTGTCTGTCTTTTTTCTCCTCTCTCTTCAGAGAAGGGGAAAAAAAAAAAAAGTTTTGAGAATTTCATTTTTCTATTCACTGCAGTCCTGGCCAAAGTAAAGCCCTCTTTTACATTGACGTCAAGATCTTTACTAAGATTAGGGTTTCATTTCTCTATTGCAGCAATTAGCTAGGGAATGTATAAAAGGCTTCAGGGAAGCAAGCTAGGACTCCAGTAGGGAAA